GGCACACGCTATGAAACATTTAACTTGTGAAGGTTCTAAAATAACTACTGTTTTGACATTAACTAACATTGTCATCTTTTTCCCTCTTGCTGGCTTCTGGTCCCCAAAAGGTTCTTTAACTTGGGAGCCACTATATCCACATACTAGAAATCAGGGACCAAAGGTAAAACCAGCTGGCTCTAGGTTCCCACCAGATTCCTAGCCCACGCTATGTCTTGCTTCTGGAATTTGAAAGCATTGAAGAAACAAACCAATCTCCTTTTCAAGTCTTGGATTTCTCTTTTATTGAACAATCAAGAAAAATCAAAGTATCTTGGAACTTGAATAGTTCAAACATACATTCAAATGAATAAAATCATGTCATGAAGTGGTACTCACTCCATCATTTTGGGGACTCATTTTGTCTATGTTCCAATCCAGTAGATTTTCTTAACCCTACAGTTTCATAAGGAGTTTCCAAAGAAAACTTTAATAATGTTCCTTATCCCAGGAACAAGACAGGATTGGCTTTAAAGTGGTGTTTGCTATTGGAAAAATATATTTATTTAGAATTATATATCTGGAGAAACTTGACTTTTTCATTTGTTTAAATGACTGACAATGTATAGGAAATGAATCAAAACACTTTTATCTTGGGAAATATTATATCTTCATACTAAAAACTTTGAAGACAGGTTATCTCAGGTTTACTCTGCCACCTGAAAAACATATTTCTTCAACAAAATAAATTTCAGTTGAGGCTTCCAACTCAGAAGATATCCTAAGTGCCAGAACACAATGCAGGTCATGCTATGAAATCTGTTTTGCTGCCCTTAGTTTATAATGCATTTGTGAGTACACAAGAAAAGGCAGAAAGGTAAATAAGACTTTTAGTAAGGATTTCCTGAGGAAGAAATGTCGTTTCACTATGTCATAGGGGAGGAGCAAACTGCCTCCCCTTTACTTCAAGCCATATGAGAGATACTTCATAAAAAGTATCTGAAATCTTAGCCTGTGCTCTGAGATACCAAAGACCTGACATGTGCTTAAAATTATGTCAAAAGCAGGAGACGATGGTTACATCAGTTAAAGGCTGCAGAACTAACAGATCTGGGAGTGAACTGTACTTCCTCCAATGGTGAAGAGCGGAAGGGGAGCTTTCCCTGTGGGCCAAGCAGACTATCAGGAGAGCAGAGCTAGTTCATTTAAAGAGAGTTTTACCCATGAGGGCTGCTTATAAGATAAGGTGACCTGAAAAGATAGACTCTTTATAAGGAACATGAAAACACACACACACACACACACACACACACAAAACAGAGGCCGAAGGGTAAAATCTTCAGTCTGAGGTCTCTGAGGATCCTATAAAGCTTCCTATAAGACAAAGAGCAACCAACTGAGCTTCAGCCACACAGAAGGCTCCAATGCAGGGCTCCACCTACACCAATGATATAATGGCTTTTTGGTACCCATTAACTCACTTCCATTTCCCTAAGAGGTCCTCATGAGACCAAGTAGAACCCTGCAATCTGTCCACTCAAGGACAGAGATTAAGAAAATGCCACTGGGAAATTCACAAAAAAACAAAAAGGCACTTTCCAAACTTCTTTCCTTAAAAAAAGGGAGGGAGGGGTATAATTAAAGGTTATATGTACTGTTCCTACCACAAAATTAGTCTAGTCAAAAATATAATGTAATGTTTATCCTTCTGGAAAGAAAGAATAATGAAGTTAACAAGAAAGAAATATTTTTAAATGTGGTATACCAAAGTCATACTGCTACATTTTTATAACTAATAACAAGCTCAGAGTATTCGAAGGAAAGAAGGTACAACTTTAAATTGTTAAGGAAAATATCGATAGAATTCTAAAAGTATAGAGAGGTACAGAACAGTGGCTTTTAAAAGAAAGACTTTTTAAAAAGTATAAATAGGTCCTTTCAGAGATTCTCTCTACCCAGTGGCATGAAGAAAATCCTAAAGTTCTCTCAAAATGAAATTCCTAGTGAATTATAACTTTTTAAACACTGCCCCCTAATGTCCATACTCAGCTTCCTCTAAAATGACAGTGGGATCATGCTAATAAAAAATAATCGGGTCCTTCCTCCTTTGTGATCAGTCTAGCATTTCTGTCCTGCAGACCAGATTTCACAGCCCGAGGCAATCTCAACCACACAACAGTCAGGATGCATTAGAGTAAGTCTCCTAACCATTCTAAGATTGCTCACATAAGCAGTAAGGCCAACATGGGAGTGAGAACAGACTATTTGGGCTTGGACAGCACTGACGAGACAGCAATACCACTGGGAAACATCAGGAAAGTCTAGGATCCCAATCATAACATGTGCAACTTTAGACTGATCTAATCAGTCTTACTTAAAAATAAAAAAACAAACACTGATTACCAAGAATACCAAACTTTTAAAAGAGAGATGGCCCTTGCTTTATATACACACACAAACTCATGACTCATAAATGACCTTTGCTTCTAGAAGAATCTGTTGAAATTTAGACTCCCTGATGAGCACATTTTTTCATGATTTCCTCCATCGCAAATATGACTAACAACCAATGAAATAGAAGAGCAAAAATATATTATTCTCAACTACAGCTGTTCAGTGTCTTGTAATCACAAAATCCATGTCATCACTTAACAATGATATATGTCTGAGTATGAAAAGCATAGAGGCACTTAATACTAGTCGAGAAGCCTGAGTTTTAAACCCATCTGCCATTAAAGAGCTGTGTGAACTTAGGTACCTTAGCGGCTCTGGATCTGTTTCTTTATCAGGAAATAAAGGAGACAGTACTATATGGGTGTTCTTCTAATGATTGTTAGATGTGCACGTAGGGAATTACAGAATTATGAGAGGTGTTTTTTCAGACTACGCATGCCTCTCCCCATCACCTCCTTATTACCCCATCCCTGTTACTTAAAAGCATATGATACCCCCAATTTCCCGAGCCGAAAACTTCTGAATTATATTACCTATATCCGAGGTCCTTTGCCTCACTAAAATGTTAATAAAGGATCTGAGAACGGGAAGAAAATTTAGAGATTCTCCAGTCATAAGCCATGGCCCAGAAGAATTTCTGACTCTAACCACCATTAGTTATAGATGTGGAACTTGGGCAAGTGTGAGGCTTCCCACATAGATTAACACTTTATTTGGCTAGGTGATTGACAAAATGCATTGGCATTCCCAGTCTTCACCTCCTCAGAAGCCACCTCCTTGTCATGTGACTTTGTAGTTCCTGCCACAAGAGTAGAATATATTTCATGGCCCATTGATACTGGGCTTGGTCATGTGATTTTCCATGACCAAAGGAACGTTAGCAGATGTTACATGAGGAGAGGCTGTAAACTTGCTTGTGAGACTGGGCTTGTTCTCTTTGTGCTCTTGCCTTTCACTAGGAGCAGAACGTGCATTTGGTAGCCACTGGTCCAAGGAGTATAAGAGACATGTAGAGCAAACCAGGCCCCAAACTGCAATATGGAGCCAAATCAAATCAGTTTAAATCAGCTGAATCCCAGTTGGCCCACATTCATGGGAAATGAGAAATAAATTCTTATTGGCATATAAGATTTTGCATTTGTCACATACGCAGTATTTTTATGGTAAGGGGGCAATTCAAAAGATAATATTTTACTTATTTTAATATTTTAGACCTCAACATTTCCACTGGACTGCGATATTTAAAGAAAAAAATTCTGCCTGGCCGAGTGGCTTGGTTGAGCTTCCCCCTATGAGCCAAAAGGTCACTGGTTGGATTCCTGGTTAGGGCACATGCCAGGGTTACAGGCTCGACCCCCAGTACAGGCTGTGCAGGAGGCAGCCAGTCGATATTTCTCTCACATCAATGTTTCTCTCTCCCTCTCCCTCCCTCTCTAAAATCAATAAAAACATTTTTTTATCCTGATCTCATATTGATATATAGACAAGAAAAAGCTAAAGTAGTTCATCATCACCAAACCAGGATTATAAGAAATGTTAAAGGGACTTCTTTTAGAAGAAGAAGAAGGGGGGAGAGAAAATAAATATCACAATAAAATGACAATAACTATGTACCTGTCAATAATCACTTTAAAAGTACATGTATTAAATGCTCCAATCAAAAGACATAGGATAGCTAAATGGATAAAAAAAAACAGGACCCATACATATGCTGTCTAAAAAAGACCCACTTCCAATTAAAAGGCACACAGACTAAAAGTAAAGGAATGAAAAAAGATGTTTCACGCAAATGGAAATGAAAAAAAAAGCTAGGGTAGCAATACTCATATCAGATGCCCTAACAATTACATTTCTGAGTATTTATCAAAATAATTCCAAAACACGAATTCAAAAAGATATATGCAATTCTATGTTCATTAAAGCATGATTTACAATAGCCAAGATATTAAAACAATCAAAGTGCCCATCAATAGACAATTAGATAAAGAAGATGTAGTACATAAAATAATGGAATATTATTCAACCATAAAATAATGAAACCAAAAAATGTGGTATTATGCTTATTAAATATGTAAAACTAACATATATTATGACTGTTTTCCTCTTTGACCTAAATTCACACACATTCATACACACACACACACACACACACACACACACACACACACGAAGGTGACTACAAAGGCTGAAAAAACTGAAAGACTTTATAGCACTCTTTTCCTTGGCTTAGCACTTATGAATATATTGAAGAGATATGTTGGATTCTTGTATTATCTTAAAGGCTATTAACATTTCAACTGTAATTCTATATGAGTTAATAGTACTTTGAAAATGTCTGCAAAATAAAAAATTATAGACAGACAATTCACAGAAATTTAAATTGCCGATACATACATGAAAAAAGATGTTCATTTAAGTTAATGTTTTTAAAGGTTACTTTTCAGGAACCTAAAATGTCTTGGGAGGGGAAGAACAGCAGAATCGCATCAAGAAAACGAACATTAGTAAGAGGTTTCTTATAGAAACTGGAAAATCTATTCCCTGGCGAGTATGTGGTCCCGAAATACCTGTGATGGAGCAGTAGACGATGTGAGGAGCGATTCTGTCTATCTCTTCGTATCCCAGGCCCATTGCAGATAGTTTGCCAGGGACATAGTTTTCCACAAATACATCACACACAGCTGCAAGCTGAAGGAAGAGGTGAAGATGAATCAGATTTCTTAAATGGCTGTCAAACATTTAACAAATCCGCACATTATAGAATTCTAATTTCAGTAAACAAAATTGACCCTCATTTTTATAATAGTCCATACAAAAAGCACAGGAAAAGTAGAATTACAAAGTAGAATTAGATCAACAAAATGGCTCTGGTCAAATACTTGAGGTCTTACTGCCAGTAAAACAATGACTATTAAAGTTTTCAGTAAATACCATAGTATTAAATGGATTCTGCTTATGTTAAATGTAAAAGAATATCTAGGCTACATGGTGCAAATATATTTTCAGATGTCGAGGTAGAAAAATTAGAATATTGCCGGGGTCCAACCCCAGCGGGTCCAGGGGTTCCCAAAGGTGTAGACGGAGTCGGCGAAGAAGGAAGGACACGGAGACAGTGTTCAGTTGATCAGCAGCCTAGCCAGGATCTCCAGCCAGGATCTCCAGCCAAGTTCTGGTCTGGATCTCCAGAGAGGTTCTGCTTAGGATCTCCAGCTAGATTCTGTGCCCATGTTCTCTTGCTAGGTTCTCCAGGTTCTCCAGCCAGGTTCTGTAGCCATGTTCCCTCGCTAGGTTCTCCAGCCAGGTTCTGTCCAGGTTCTCCAGCCAGGTTCAGTCACCAGGTTCTAGTCAGGTTCTCTTGCCAATTTCTGTAGTCAGGTTCAGTCCAGGATCTTTTGCCATGTTCTCTCGCTAGGTTCTGTCTCTAGGTTCTGAGGCCAGTTTCTGTCCAGGAACTTTTGCCATGTTCTCTCCAGCGAAGTTCTTCTGTCTCTAGGGAACGTTCTGTGTAGGTTCTGTGCCTAGGTTCTGTCTCTCTTGGTTCTGTCTTCTTACATCTGTATTTATACCAGTTGATTCCAATCCTATCAATCTCTATTTCAAAGGCTAGGGCGTTTCTTATCTCCATTCCAGGGAGTAAAGATTATGTAGCTTAAGCATGATTGTTCATAGTTAAAGTGATTAATTACCCACCTGGCACTTAGTTAAGAGGTTTTATTCCCTCCCTAACTTCAGGGGAAAATCCCTACCTGGGGAAACAACCTTTCTCAGAGACCTTGGTTAAAACACATAGTGCCAAGAAGGTGAGCAAACATATTAAGAACAGTATGCCATATATGTCAGGTCCCTTGAAACAGCAAGCATGGACCGGCTCCCGGCAAATTCCCCCTTTTTTATTTTTTAAAAGCAGGCATTCAAAAGAAAAATCCAAAATGCTCTTTTGTATCCATTTTAAGAGTAGGATTGGCGCTTTCCGCTATTACCTGAGTCCTGATCTATCACCCCACGGAGAGCTTGCCAATCCTGCACTTTCCTGGGGTGGAAAGGCTGCAGTGGGGTTAAGGATAAGGCTCCTTGGGCCTACCTCCTCCCATGCCTTTACATTTACCTTTCCTTCCTCAGAAAAGCATGGACATACTTCTTGTATAAAACGTTCTGTCTGACTGGGAGTAACCTTAATTCCTCTGCTAGCAAGCATATGTGTTAAAAGATCAATACAGAGTCTTCTTTCTTTAGACTCAGTATGGCACATCTTCTTAATCTAAAGATCAATACAGAGTCTTCTTTCTTTGGACTCAGTATGGCACATCTTCTCAATCTAAGTTCTGTACTATCCACCTTCTTACCCTACTTATCCTCTATAGGGGGGTCTGTAGCACCCTGGTGGAGTCCTATCCGTCCCGAGTGTGGGGGTTTTCAAGGTGGGGGGCTTACCTAGGGGAATCCTGTTCCAGGGTTCCCAAAGGTGTGGACGGAGTCGGCGAAGACTATCCACCCTCTTCCTACGGTGGAGTCCTATCCATCCCGAGAGTGGGGCTTACCTAGGGGTCCCTGTTCCGGCGCCATATGCCGGGGTCCCACCCCAGCCGGTCCAGGTGTTCCCAAAGGCGTAGACGGAGTCGGCAAAGAAGGAAGGACACAGAGGCAGTGTTCAGTTGATCAGCAGCCTAGCCAGGATCTCCAGCCAGGATCTCCAGCCAAGTTCTGGTCTGGATCTCCAGAGAGGTTCTGCTTAGGATCTCCAGCAAGGTTCTGTGTCCATGTTCTCTTGCTAGGTTCTCCAGGTTCTCCAGCCAGGTTCTGTAGCCATGTTCCCTCACTAGGTTCTCCAGCCAGGTTCTGTCCAGGTTCTCCAGCCAGGTTCAGTCACCAGGTTCTAGTCAGGTTCTTTTGTCAATTTCTGTAGTCAGGTTCAGTCCAGGATCTTTTGCCATGTTCTCTCGCTAGGTTCTGTCTCTAGGTTCTGTCTCCAGTTTCTGTCCAGGATCTTTTGCCATGTTCTCTCCAGCGAAGTTCTTCTGTCTCTAGGTTCTGTCTCTCTTGGTTCTGTCTTCTAAGGTCTGTCTCCTGTTGTCTTGTTACATCTGTATTTATACCAGTTGATTCCAATCCTATCAATCTCTATTCCAAAGGTTAGGGCGTTTCTTATCTCCATTCCAGGGAGTAAAGTTTATGTAGCTTAAGCATGATTGTTCATAGTTAAAGTGATTAATTACCCACCTGGCACTTAGTTAAGAGGTTTTATTCCCTCCCTAACTTCAGGGGAAAATCCCTACCTGGGGAAACAACCTTTCTCAGAGACCTTGGTTAAAACACATAGTGCCAAGAAGGTGAGCAAACATATTAAGAACAGTATGCCATATATGTCAGGTCCCTTGAAACAGCAAGCATGGACCGGCTCCCGGCAAATTCCCCCTTTTTTATTTTTTAAAAGCAGGCATTCAAAAGAAAAATCCAAAATGCTCTTTTGTATCCATTTTAAGAGTAGGATTGGCGCTTTCCGCTATTACCTGAGTCCTGATCTATCACCCCACGGAGAGCCTGTCAATCCTGCACTTTCCTGGGGTGGAAAGGCTGCAGTGGGGTTAAGGATAAGGCTCCTTGGGCCTACCTCCTCCCATGCCTTTACATTTACCTTTCCTTCCTCAGAAAAGCATGGACATACTTCTTGTATAAAACGTTCTGTCTGACTGGGAGTAACCTTAATTCCTCTGCTAGCAAGCATATGTGTTAAAAGATCAATACAGAGTCTTCTTTCTTTAGACTCAGTATGGCACATCTTCTTAATCTAAAGATCAATACAAAGTCTTCTTTCTTTGGACTCAGTATGGCACATCTTCTCAATCTAAGTTCTGAACTATCCACCTTCTTACCCTACTTATCCTCTATAGGGGGGTCTGCAGTACCCTGGTGGAGTCCTATCCGTCCCGAGTGTGGGGTTCTCAATGGGGGGGGGGGGGTTACCTAGGGGAATCCTGTTCCAGGGTTCCCAAAGGTGTGGACGGAGTCAGCGAAGACTATCCACCCTCTTCCTACGGTGGAGTCCGATCTGTCCCGAGTGCGGGGCGCTTACCTAGGGGTCCCTGTTCGGGCGCCAGATGCTGGGTCCAACCCCAGCAGGTCCAGGGGTCCCCAAAGTTGTGGACAGAGTCTGCGAAGAAGGAAGGACACGGAGACAGCGTTCAGTTGATCAGCAGCCTAGCCAGGATCTCTAGCCAAGTTCTGTTCAGGATCTCCAGCGAAGTTCTGGTTAGGATCTCCAGCCAGGTTCTGTGTCCATGTTCTCTTGCTAGGTTCTCCAGGTTCTCCAGCCAGGTTCTGTAGCCATGTTCCCTCGCTAGGTTCTCCAGCCAGGTTCTGTCCAGGTTCTCCAGCCAGGTTCAGTCACCAGGTTCTAGTCAGGTTCTCTTGCCAATTTCTGTAATCAGGTTCAGTCCAGGATCTTTTGCCATGTTCTCTCGCTAGGTTCTGTCTCTAGGTTCTGAGGCCAGTTTCTGTCCAGGAACTTTTGCCATGTTCTCTCCAGCGAAGTTCTTCTATCTCTAGAGAACATTCTTTGTAGGTTCTGTCTCTCTTGGTTCTGTCTTCTGAGTTCTGTGTTCTAAGCTCTGTCTTCTAAGTTCTGAGTCTTGCTGTCTTGTTACATCTGTATTTATACCAGTTGATTCCAATCCTATCAATCTCTATTCCAAAGGTTACGGCGTTTCTTATCTCCATTCCAGGAAGTAAAGTTTATGTAGCTTAAGCATGATTGTTCATAGTTAAAGTGATTAATTACCCACCTGGCACTTAGTTAAGAGGTTTTATTCCCTCCCTAACTTCAGGGGAAAATCCCTACCTGGGGAAACAACCTTTCTCAGAGACCTTGGTTAAAACACATAGTGCCAAGAAGGTGAGCAAACTTATTAAGAACAGTATGCCATATATGTCAGGTCCCTTGAAACAGCAAGCATGGACCGGCTCCCGGCAGAATATAAGTAAAGAAAATACATGAAAAACATCTTTTAAACCCTTAAAAAACAAAATATAATGACTCTACTATTTCTCCATCCTTATTATGTGATATCCCTCATTACAACATACACATATAAGCACATGTAAACATGCTTCTTACATCTTCTCAAACTTTTCAGGTGCTTTCTTTCCAGTGTGTTAAATACATTAAGTTAACCATTTTTTAAACTATTAAACTGTAACCCAGTGTATCAATAACTATCTGAAACAGCCCAGCCTGTATGGCTGATGGCTGAGTCTTGATCCATGAACCAGGAGGTCACGGCTCGATTCCTAGGCAGGACACATGCTCAGATTGTGTGCTCGGTCCCCAGGCTGGGGCGTGCAGGAGGCAGCCGATCAATGATTGTTTCTCATCATTGATGTTTCTATCTCTCTCTTCCTCTCCCTTCGTCTCTGAAATCAATAAAAATATACTCTTATTAAAAATTGAATGCAATTACTGCATCACCAAATTGGGACGGTGTATAAGGAATTGCCTGACAACCAAATTCAGGGGGAGGGGAGAACTTAGGACACATTTAAGGAAATAAGCTGTCATCCTCCCGAGCTCCTGACACAGATGCACCAGGAGCCTCACTGACCACCGACGAGGGAGGAATGACAAATATGTTAAGATAGGAAGGCTTAAGCATGCACCCCAAGTTTCAAGCATAGGCATCTCTTCCGAATTTTAGGTGCCAATTACCATTTGACCTGTTTCTCCTGTGGGCAACTCCATGTAGCATGCTCCAGGGAGAATCCCAATAAATATACATTTATTTATTATTAATTTTCTACAAAGTATTGCTTGGGGATTTGGAGGGACGGCAGGGGTTAGTATGAAATACAACACAAATCTATATTTACACATCAATTTATTCCACAATATTTCTCTGAGCCTCTATTTACTACTTACAAGGCACTCACTCCGGCAGGCACTAAAGAAGACAAACTATATCAAGCACACCTACGCTTTTACACTGGTCATATTTCTGCATGGTGCATAAAATAGTACCTTACGCAAATGACACCTAATAAATTATTTTTTGTTTTAAAAAACTCATGTCAGTTCCTCAAAAAGTTAAATATAGAATTACCATATGACCCAGCAATGCCACTCATAGGCACATACCCAAAAGAATTGACAACAGGGACTCAAACCAATACTTGTTTGCAAATGTTCATAGCAGCACCATTCACAGTAGCCAAAAGGTGGAAACACCTCCTGTCCAACAACAGACAGATACATCCATAAAGTGGGATATTATTAGCTATTAAAAGTTTCTATACATGCTACAGCATGAATGAACCTTGAAAGTATTATGCTAAGTGAATTAACCAGACAAAAAAGTACAAATATCGTATAATTTCACTTACATGAAATATCCAGAATAGGAAAAATCAGAAACAAAAAATAGATAAAAGATTATTAGGGACTGGGTAGAGAGGGAAGTGGAGAATTATTACTTAATGTATACAGAGTTACTGCCTGGAGTGATGAAGTATTTTAGAAACAGATAGATGGTTGTACACTAAATGTAATTACTGCCACTGGATTGTAAACTTGAAAATTATTAAAATGGAAATTCTCATTGTATATATTTTACCACAATAAAAACAAATTTTTTAACAATGCAGGGTATTTGCATTTTTTAGACTTCTATGGGATCCTAAATGACAACTCAATCCATATAAAGTATCCAGATGGAGCACAAATTCACTGTTTCCACAAAACACAAATATAAATATAATGAATAACTTATCCTAGTAGAAAAGTATTCAAAATATTTTAATTAACAAAAAAATCAGATAAAAAAAACAATGTACATGGTATTATCTCATGTTTGGGGGAGAAAAATTGGTACTCAAGGATGTAAAGACATTTTATATGATATGCTAAAATATTAATCCTTTTGCCCATGAACAGTTATAACTTATATAACAAGAAAAACTATTTTTAACTAAAAATGTACTCAAAGTAACATGCAGTCTGAGAGTACAATGTGATAAAAAAGTATGCAAAAGTTGAGTTTAAGAGCTAAAGATTTCTCCTGATAAAGATACCCAGTAGTTTTTTTATGATACCCAAGAACTCTATATATATGCATTTTGATATTTATTGATAAAATATCCCTGGAAAAGGATATAGGGCAGAAATTATCCTTTTCTCCATTTTATAAATGTTTATTTTAAATAAATAAAAATTAGCTACTTACTAGATAGATATTCTTAGTGAATGTGTCATCCAAAATATTACCTCTCCCTCTCTTGTTTGAGGATGTTCACCCATTTCAATATCATGTATGTTTCCTATAGCTTTAGCAAAGTCATTCATAAAAATTCTAAACACAACAGTGTTAAAATCAGAGCCATCAGAAAACTTCTGAGTTACACTGATCTCCACATTACCTTCAAGTATTATACAAGTTAACTGCTCCAGTAGAGATGAAATTTGTTTACTGGATTCCCTTACTTAATAATCTACTAGAAAGTAAAGTAAGAAGAAAAAAAAAAAAAAAGACTGGTTCCCACTTTTACTGCTGATCACCTCTGCCTCATCGAGTTGCTCACAAATTACCAAATAACCTCTTCTAGAATGTTGCCCAAAATTTAAAAAAAAAAAATTGTGACTTAGAGAACCCACCATCTCTTTCTTTCTGAAAGGGAAAAACTAATTCTTCCTTCCAGGCACAGAGTAAAATAAGAACTAAAATCAATTTGAAATATAGCGTACCAAATTCTGAGTTCTCTTTATTAGGTGTAACTTAGGAACAGAATGGATGAGCAACATCAGAAGTAGAGGAGAAAGTGATAATGATAATGTAACCATATTTATGAGTTTAAAAAATCATAAAATAATTTTTAAATATTATGTCAAGGAATATCCTTATCTGTAGGAGATGTATTCTGAAGGATTTAAGGACAAAGTTTCATAACATCTTCCACTTACTTTCAAATGGTTCAAAAATACACACATAAACATATGCATACACATATGAATACATATGTAAATAAGCAAATATAGCAAAATGTTAAAATTGTTGCATCTTTCAATGTTTTTGTTATGTTTTATGTTTCACAGTATAATGTTGGAGGAAAACAAAACCAATCACATTGTTCTATAGACACAGTATGGATAGTGTGACTGTCAACTAACATGGAAAAGTATCTGAAATATAGATAACATGTTAGAAAGTTATCATATCATATTGCCATGGAAATACCAGGCTCCACATAGATTTTTTAAGCAGAGTTTTGTTTTCCACACAACCTGTTTTTGGTTAACCTACTTGACAAAGGAGTCACATTTTGGGGGGCTCTCACATATCCACTGTTGGGTTGGTATAATACTTTGGAACCGTTTCTATAATCTAGACTCATTATATTAGCCATAATAGCCGCCAAGGTCTGAATACTAGTAAAGATGTTATTTTACTATTCTTAAGGTCAAAAAAGAAATCCATGCCCTGAAGAATAAAAAAAAAAACTAGGCAAAAATAATTTTTCCTCTAGGCTGTAAGATGCATAACTTTTAAGTGATATAACTAGCTAAAACCCATAGGCATGAATAATGTCTCCAGACAACCAAAGTTTATTATGAGCTGAAATGTACTTTATTGTTAACAATTAGAGAAATCAAGCCCACAATGAAATGTAATTTAAAATTGTTATAGTATGGTGGACACTGGCAAGACCCAAGGAGCGTGAAAAGGAAGTCCCAGCAATTCATTTATTTTGGTCAGAATGATACATGTTGGCCTAAAATGTTCAAATGTCTTAGTAGTAAGAGTTATGAATTCCACCCAACACTGCCCCATTGAGAAGCCCTATTGAAATGGTGCCGTATCTGTTCAATCAAACATGAAACCTTGACTAGATAAAATATCAGAATATCCTGAAATAAAAGCAAAGAAGTAGGAGCTGAAACTAAAGATGAAACTAAGAAACACAGAGCAGAAAGAGAAGAATTAAGGAAAGAACAATCCCTTAGATATATAATAAAGAGCTAATATGCTAATAGTCATGACACCCTCACACCATAACGACCGATCAGCAGGAGGCTGCGTGTGCGTGTGCAGTGGGGGGACGCCGCCGTGTTGCTCCAGAGACAGGGCGAAAGTAGGGAGGCACCCAGAGGAGGCAGGACCAGCCTGAAGCGACTCGCAGGACCGAAGGTGGGGCTTGAAGCAGCCAGAGAAGACTGTAGGGGGTGGGGGTGTGGCCAGGCGCACTCAAGCTCTAGGTAGAGAGGTTAGGGTGTCAAGGCGGGGGGGGGGGGGCTCACAATTTCGCACACCAGGTCACTAGTAATAATAATAACTACAGAGAAGATAAAAAGAAGTGCCTGAGAATGAAGGGCCCTTCCACTCTCTCTCAAAATCAATGGAAAAAATATCTTCTGGTGAGGATTAACAACAAGAAAAAGTGTTGGCCAGTAACATGACCCAGGGTTCAAAATTTCAGCTCCTCCTTTTGCTAGCTATGTGATCTTTACAGCATCACTTAAGCCCCATCAGACTCATTTCACACCTGTGAAATGAAGACTCTACTAGCAACACCTCATGTATTCTAAGGATTTGAGAAGATAATGTAAGTAAAGTGCTCAAGCCTAAGATCTGATACAGAGGAGGCACTCAGTCAATAGCAGCCAGTACTACAATGGAATACCTACCTTCACAGTGTGAAGAAACATTATACACAATATAAAAGAAATTATAAAGCAAATTATACTTACTATAAAAGTAAAAGTTAAGTTCTTAAATGGCATGTACAAAAAGATTACAGATTGTCAATTAAATAAAGTTTTAAAACACATTTACTCTGTTGCTCATATCCCTAATTACAACCCCAGTGGTAAGATGCCTTTCATTGAGTATACTGTACCTCTTTGATGATTTTCACCCCTTTTGGATCCTTGATATTAACAGCTATACTCTAAAAATTAAAATATGTATATTAAAATGGTATCATAAAATTCTTTGTTAATAATAACAGTTCAATAAGGGAGCAAATCATACCATAGATTCTCCTCTTAAAGCAAATGTATTTTCCTCCTGAAGAAATATTTAAATCATCTTTACTTATTTTATTTGCAATTTAGATATGTTAGAATGTAGCAAGGATTACAGTAAAAATGCTTCAAATTATAATACCCACTTTTAGGCAGTTATCAATCTCCAAAATAATAACAAATGTAAAGAACCACTTAATAAGTTTAATAAAATTATTTCCATTATCAATTCTTGTTTTAAGTTAGTAGGGAAGATTAGTAAAAAGGTCTATTGTTTCTATTTGTAACTGTCAAATGAATAAAATTTCACCTTATTTAAAATATTAATTACATCTACAGAAAAGGGTAAAAACAAACAAACCAGGATATCAAAAGTTTTGTTTTTATAAGAGAATTACACAAAGAAAGCAGAAAAGAATTATATTCTTACTTTTTTATTTCGATTTACACTGAGAAAATAAGTACTTTCTGTCCCCACAAAAGGTGGTCCCCAAGTTCGTGTATCATCACCAGCTCCTGAAAGTAATAGTATGACTTATTAATCTCTAACTGTGAAACATCATGAGACATTTTAGACCAACAGACTCACTCATCATATGCATTCACAGATGACTGAAGAAATCAGTTCTGTTAAGTGGAATTAACAACGTAGAGGAGCCCATTAGAACTGTCTAAACTCTTTACCTGTAAATGTTAATCACTAAATCTTTCCTATCTTTTCACTAAAATCCATCCCTGAAAGTCAAAATCCAGAAGGAAATATCCTACCAGCAGTCTTTACATTTAATAAATGGCAAATTTGAGGGGGGAAAAAATTACACTCAGTTTTTGGCAAGCAATTCAGTCTGTGTTTCTTGGCATTAAATATGCAAAGAAAATGTTGACTCTGCAAAAGATGTTTGTTAAATATTATTTAAATCAGAATAATGATAAGTGATAAAATGACATGATACAACGGCATGTGAGCCTATGTTAAATACACCATATAAAAATTTGGTAGCGACAACAAATTAGAAGAGGCAAAATAAGTTACTGAACAGCAAATTCAGCTAGTTTAAAATACTATTTTAGAATAAGATTTTACTCTACTTCTGGCCTCAAGGTAAAAGTTTAAAAAACATCAAAAATAGGGTATTTTATTCTGGACATCTACTTCAAGGGATTCTGAAATGTCTTTGTGTTTGATTCAGACACTATGGAGTTAGAGGAAAAAGTTTTCTTTGCACAGTAAGCAACTGACAGACAACATACATAGAACTCAGAAAGTAGATCAGCAATTAAATGGCACAAAATAGTATCACTTAAAACATTTATAATATAACTTCTGATTAAATATCTTGATATAAGTGACTAATCAACTATGTAATTGCAGTTAAAGTATTTATCAGGAACCTCCCAAAAAGAATTTGCGAATATATGTTAAAGCTTAAATTCCAATCTCATTTTAATGAAATAATTAATCTAACAGTCCATTAGACTTTACTGAAATTGACCAAGAAAAACAGACACAGCCCTTTTGAATTCAGAAAAAAAAAAAAAACAGAGGTAAATAACTGACTCAATTATTTAATTTTTTATAGTTTGAGGGTGCCAATATATTTAAAAATTCAGATGGTCTTAATTGATATTTTAGCACATTCATTCATTGAGCAAATACTTATTGGCCCCTGCGATGTCACAGACACTGCTCTCTGGAGAGTACACACTGCAGTGAACAAAAAACCAACATCCCTACCTTCACATCGCCACCTACTGAGGACAGTCCTGGAATATCAGCAGCATTATTTGCTGCCATACACAGTCCATTGTCACTCATTTAGGTTACCTGCCTGGCCCTGCAGACATACAGTTTACACTCCCTGACTAACTCTCAAAAAAGAAAATATGTATATACTTGAACTTGATATACTCTTTGATTACACAAATAAAAATAATCTAAGTCAGCAAACTACAGCCAACTTTTATTTAATGAGAGAACTGGACACAAAAAGTGACTAGTTCTCTACTGAAATTTGAAAATACTGCCAAGTCATTGTCCTTCATATTTGTGTTGAATAACTATTTTGAAAACCCAAAACAATTAAGTATATATAATATGCACACTAAAATGTATTGGGCAAAAGAAAGAGATCAATCAGTCAGAAAAACAATGATGAGCACCTGCTGGGAATGAAGCTTGATAGAAAATAAATGGCTATGAGACATAATAAAGGCCCAGACAAAGGAAGGTGTCCCCCAACTTGGGAAGGGAAAAGCACAAAGGGAAAATAGGCCTAAGTAAATAAAAAATAACAATTCCTACAATTTCTAAAATTAATGTAGATACAAATATTTCATCTACTGATACACTGAAATAGCAAGAGAAATTAGATCAGATGCTCGATCTAAAATAGAAGACCCAGTGGTTGAAATTAGAAAGTGCTGTGGTATTGAAATTGATAGCAATGTGGAAATTAGAAGTTTTATGGAACCTGGAAAATAGGTTTAGCTAGAAAGAAAACATTTTTCAGCATGTATCCAGCAAAGCCTAAAAGCAGTAAACATCAATGGCTGGGTAAATAAAGTACTACTTCTGGAAAGCAGAATTTACCAGGCTCTTCTACCACCTGGATGGAGCCTGATAAACGAAGTCAGATAAATGTAATCCTACGTAATAAAGAGCTAATATGCTAATTAGACCAGATGGCGACTGTGATACAACCTTCAGGAACAACCTTCCGGAACAACCAGTGAGCGGGACTGTGGGGCTGCCGGGCCATGAGGCAGCCAGGCTGCGAGAGCCAAGGCAGCGGGGCTGCGAGTGCGAAGCCCCTTGCACAAATTTCGTGCATTAGGCCTTTAGTAATATATAATAGTAGTGGATTCATGCACATTGAAAGGAAATTAATTAGAATTCCTGGGGTGGCACCACAGCTCGAAGGGCGTCTGCGGAGTGAGGGTGGGTGGGGGAGGGGAGAAAAATGAAAGAAAACTCACGCTCGGGTCTTCCAGCTCACTGCACTGGCTCTGGTGCAGGGACTAGTGCAGGCGGTCCCCGGTGGTGGCTGGCGGGGCAGGACTGGGTGAGACAGATGGGCCAGACACACCCTGGAGCCACCCTCCCATGGTCCCTCCCCAGCCTGCTGCACCTGGGTGGCACCACAGCTAGGAGGGTGTCTGTGGAGTGAGCAAGGTCTCGCTGGCAGGTGGGGTCCCTCGGCCTGGCCTGTGGGGGTCGGGCCGAAACCGGTCCTCTGACATCCCCCAGGGGGATCCAGAGTGGGAGAGGGCACTCTGTAAAGTTGCTATTGAACAGGGTGTGGAATGCAAACGCAAGTGTGCAGTAAACCAGATTCAGGGCCCACAGTGCCCCAGCAACAACATAACCCATGGCTGGAGATGAAATCGCACGGCCCTGCAAGAAATCAGGCTCCCTCCTCTCTGGTCCGGGGTGTGTCACCTGAGAACCACTGCTGCCAAGTCACCGCAGCTCAGCAGCTCCTGCATTGAGCGTCTGCCCCCTGGTGGTGAGTGTGCATCATAGGTACTGGCCAGTGGGACGGTCACTTAGCCTTTTATATATATAGAGAGAGTCCCCATGCTGATCAAAAATCTTCTGCTAACTGCTTTGCCTCCTAAGTAGATGTATTTAGCAAAAAGTTGAATCTTCCAAATCGAGTATTCTACTTTATACCATTTAATCACTATGGCGAATTAATAAGCTGATATAATTATAAAATTAGTCCCTTGTCTTATAGATACATGCGTGCAATTCAAAACTAGACCATTTTCACTGATTTGGGAATTCTGTTTCAAATCTATAAGGATTAGATCTTGAAGAATAAGTAATAATGCTAATTTTTGAAACCTTCCCAGAAAAGCTTTTTATAGGATGACTAGAGGCCCGGTGCACAAAATTCGTGCACTGGGGGGTGTGCTTCAGCCCAGCCTGCACCCTCTCCAATCTGGGACCCCTCAGGGGATGTCCAACTGTCGACTGCCCACAGGGATCGGGCCTAAACCAGCAGTCGGACATCCCTCTCACAATACAAGACTGCTGGCTCCCAACCGCTCGCCTGCCGGTCTGCCTGATTGCCCCTAACCGCTTCTGCCTGCCAGCTCGATCACCCCCTAACCACTCCCCTGCCAGCCTGATCAACCCCAAACTGCTCCCCTGCTGGTCTGGTCACCCCTAACTGCCTTCCTCTGCCAGCTCGGTCACCCCTAACTGCCCTCCCCTGCTGGCCTGATCGCCCCTAACCGCTCTCCCCTGCAGGCCTGGTCACCCCCAACTGCCCTCCCCTGCAGGCCTGGTCCCTCCCAACTGCCCTCCCTTGCAGGCCTGATCCCCCCCTGCCGGAAGCCGGTCCATCCTTGCTGCTTGACACAGTCGCTGCAGGATAGAAACATCTGCACAGCATATGTTTCAAGGGACCTGGCGTATACAGCATACTGTTCTTAATATGTTTGCTCCCCTTAGCGCTGTGTGTTTTAACCAAGGTCACCTCTCTGAGAAAGGTTGTTTCCCCAGGTAGGGATTTTTCCCTGAAGTTAGGGAGGGGATGAAACTCCTTAACTAAGTGCCAGGCGGGTAGTTAATCACTTTAACTACAAACAATCATGCTTAAGCTACATAATCTTTACTCCCTGGAATGGAGATAAGAAACGCCCTAACCTTTGTAATAGAAATTGACAGGATTAAAATCAACTGGTATAAATACGGATGTAACAAGACAATAAACAGCAGAACCTCTCTGGAGATCCAGACCAGAACTTGGCTGGAGATCCTGGCTAGGCTGCTGATCAACTGAACACTGTCTCCGTGTCCTTCCTTCTTCGCCGACTCCGTCTATGCCTTTGGGAACCCCTGGACCTGCTGGGGTTGGACCCCGGCACCCCCCAACTGCCATCCCCTGCAGACCTGGTTCCCCCCAACTGCCCTCCCTGCAGGCCTGGTCGCCCCCAACTGCCCTCCCTTGCTGGCCTGATCGCCCACAACTGCCCTCTCCTGCTGGCGATCTTGTGGCTGTGGGTGCTGCCATCTTTGAGGGTGGGGCAGTCAATTAGCATATTCCCTCCTTATTGGCTGTGGGTGCCACCATCTTTGCAACAGCATAAGGGTCAATTAGCATATTCCCTCTTTATTAGATAGGATGTAGAGGACATAGAGAACACAGACTCTGCTCTGAGCTCTTGTTGGAGGAAAGGGCACACAACATGACACTTTTCTAAGTGTCTATAATAGCATGAACTGAACACCAAAATGCTAAGAAGGTACCAAATAAAAGTGAGAATTGTATACACAAAGAACATTTATTTGATGGACAAAGGGGGAAAAAAAGAACCGGAAAGATGTCAGATGAGAAACATAAAAACGAAGCTTAGGTGTTTTCCCTAAAAATCTTTAAAATTATAAAATGGAAAAGGGTTTCTTTTATTAAAAATAGAAAAAAAATGACTTAGGTTAGGGTATTTGGGTTTCTTTTTTCCGAGACTTTGATTTCTTTTTCATCCCACAGGAGGGAGTGTGGCCAGGCTCAGTCCAATCTCAGTCTCAACAGTAAGGCTTGGAGAAACTAAGATGGCGGCATAGGTAAACACCGGGAAATTGCCGCCTCACACAACAATTGAAAATTACCGCAAAGGACAGAGCAAACATCATCCAGAACAACAGGAAGGCTGGCTGAGTGTAAATTCTACAACTAGAAGGAAAGAAAAGCACGCTGAGAGCCAGAGGAGCTGCAGAGGTGAAGTGCAGAGGTACAAGTGCAGAGGTACGGCCGGCTCGCGCGCGCACGCGAGTAAAGGGGGTGGCACCTGAGGACGCGGCTGTCTTTTTGAATCACAAGCTCCCGACTGCTCTGAACTCCGGTTCTGGGAAGTCTCTGGGGACCCAGGACTCATACGGGGAGAAGCTGATCTGTCCGGCAGCGGGCGAACTTGAAGGCGGCTTTCCGTCAGAGGTGCTTGCAACAATTAGCGGGTCACTGAGACCCGCGACTCCAGGCGGAGAATCAGCCATAGCTCCTTGATCTGCCCTTTGATTCCCTGAGACCCCGCCCCACCCAGGCTGCGGCAGAGGCTTTTGCATGTGAATGTACCTAACTGCAGCCGAGCCAGGCAGACCCGGAACTTCCAAGAGAAGGCCCAAGGCCCCGCAGCGGCTTGCATTGCTTCACAGCTGAGCCTCTTCGTGGCTCCTGCTGTGTGGCCTCAGGCAGAGGCTGAATTAGCACCTCCTTAGATCCAGGAGCCACTGTACCCAGTGGTCAGAGGGGGACCATCCAGATTGCAACTCCTCAGATCCATAAGGGACACACTCAGGGAGCAGACTCAGTGAGCACCAAAGCCCCACTGAAGCAAGTCTTGCCCCAGAAGGGTGTCTTCAGCACAGAAGTTCTCCCACTTTAGACACAGCTGATTCTCACAGCCAATTGGCCTGGAGGTCAATTCCTCCCAGTGATTCTACAACAACCAAGGCACCAAGAGTGCACCAAGAGTGTCCACCCCAGGTAACTGGGGAGACTGAGCTACTGGGCCCTACAGGACACCTGGCGTGCAGGGCCACTCTATCAACACAGGGAAGCTGCCAAAATGCGGAGACAAAGAAACAGGTCACAAATGGCAGAAATGGAGGAAAGCAAACGATTGGATATAGAGTTCAAGGCCACGTTTATAAGGTTTTTCAAGAATTTTATGGAAACCGCCGATAAATTTAATGAATCCCTCAATAAGTATAGTGAGACCATGGAGGACATGAAAAAGGACCAACTAGAAATTAAGCATACACTGACTGAAATAAAGAATAATTTACAGAGATCCAGCAGCAGACAAGAGGATCCCAAGAATCAAGTCAAAGATTTGAAATACAAAGAAACAAAAAATACCCAACCGAAAAAGAAAAAAGAAAAGAGATTCCAAAAATATGAAGATAGTGTAAGGAACCTCTGGGACAACTTCAAGCGTACCAACATCAGAATTATAGGGGTACCAGAAGGAGAGAGAGGGCAAGATATTGAAAATCTTTTTGAAGAAATAATGACAGAAAACTTCCCCTACCTGGTGAAAGAAATGGACTTACAAGTCCAGGAAGCGCAGAGAACCCCAAACAAAAGGAATCCAAAGAGGATCACACCAAGACACATCATAATTAAAATGCCAAGAGCAAAAGATAAAGAGAGAATCTTAAAAGCAGCAAGAGAAAGATAGTCAGTTACCTACAAGGGAGTACCCATACGACTGTCAGCTGATTTCTCAACAGAAACCATGCAGGCCAGAAGAGAGTGGCAAGAAATATTCAAAGTGATGAATAGCAAGAACCTGCAACCAAGATTACTTTATCCAGCAAAGCTATCATTCAGAATAGAAGGTCAGATAAAGAGCTTCACGGATAAGAAAAAGCTAAAGGAGTTCATCACCACCAAACCAGGATTATATGAAATGCTGAAAGGTATCCTTTAAGAAGAGGAAGAAGAAGAAAAAGGTAAAGATACAAATTATGAACAACAAATATGCATCTATCAACAAGTGAATCTAAGAATCAAGTGAATAAATAATCTGATGAACAGAATGAACTGGTGATTATAATAGAATCAGGGACATAGAAAGGGAATGGACTGACTATTCTTGGGGGGGAAAGGGGTGTGGGAGATACAGGAAGAGACTGGACAAAAATCGTGCACCTATGGATGAGGACAGTGGGTGGGGAGTGAGGGCGGAGGGTGGGGCGGGAACTAGGAGGAGGGGAGTTATGGGGGGGAAAAAGAGGAACAAATGTAATAATCTGAACAATAAAGATTTTTAAAAAATAAATAAAAATAAAAAGAGATGATTAGTCTAAGTCCAGAAGAAAATAAGGAATGGAGAAGAGAAAATCATTTCATTTCAATTCTTTCTTCATCCCATATGCAGGTACGTGGACATTTTTTAAACTATTAAAAATACTTTTTCATTTGTTTTTAATGTTTTAAAGGTAGCAATAATTTTACCTGGTCTTTCCACTTTTATAACTTCTGCTCCAAGATCTCCTAAGTTCATCGTAGCAAAAGGTCCTGCCAATACTCTACAATGTTAAACAATGATATATAAATTACCACCTTGAAGATTTTTATATTAATTTTCTTAATAGTCCATCAACACAGACAAGCTTATATAATGATAGCAAGAATTAAAATTGATAAAACTGTCCAAAATGTAATTTGGCCATATGTTTCAAGAGTTTTAAAAAGTATATTCCCTTGGATGTAGTAATTCTACTTCCAGAAATCTATCCTAAGGAAGAAGTTAAAAGATGACTGAGATTGCCAGCACCGGTTTGGCTCAGTGGATAGAGCGTCGGCCTGCGGACTGGGGGGTCCCGGGTTTGATTCCGGTCAAGGGCATGTACCTTGGTTGCGGGCACATCCCCGGTGGTGGGTGTGCAGGAGGCAGCTGATTGATGTTTCTCTCTCATCGATGTTTCTAACTCTCTATTCCTCTCCCTTCCTCTCTGTAAAAAATCAATAAAATATATTTTAAAAAAAAATTACTGAGACAAAGATTTATGTAATAGGAAACCTACCTTATAATAGTGAAATATTGAGGGATGATTAATTTTGTGACAACTATATAATAAAATATTGTATATTTTTGTTGATTTTTGAATGACAGGAAAACATTAAAAATATAACATTATATTTAAAATATGGGTAAAACTATCATTTCAATATGGTTCAAATATTTGTTTTTAAAAATATATTTAAATATGCAGGTTGGAAAGAAATGCATAAGTATTATACTAATTGTCGTTTAGAATGATAAAATTACAGGAATTTTTTTCTTTCCAAAATTTAGATACTAAGCATATAAGCACCCTCTTGTAATATAAAAGATGAATATTTTTTGAGAAGTTAAAACTCAACCACCAAAAAACAGATAGGCCAATACAAACCTTGTTAGATCCAGAACTTTTATACCCTCCAATGGCTTCACATTGTCAGTATCTGCCAAAACACGGAAAACACTTGAAGAGTATTGAATACTAATTTTCAGGAGAAAGAATCAAGACTTCTTCACACTGTGTATTGAGCAATTTCTATTACTACCAAAAGAAAATGTTTTTCTTTTACACTATTTCTGCTTTATATGTAACACGGAAATCTTGACCTGATCCAATTAAGTCAGTTTGTAAAAATTAAAACCCCCAATCCCAGATTATTCACTATTAAGTCACCAGCTACACTTGCAATAGTTTGAAAAATAAAAAGTAAGAAGTGGAGAGGTATATAAGCTGAGCACAGAGGAATTTTAGGGCACTGAAAATACTCTATATGATGCTCTAATGTTTGATGTGTAACTATACATTTTTCCAAACCCGAAGAATGTACATCACCAAGAGTGAACCCTAATATAAAGTATGGACTTTGGCTGATTATGATGTGTCAATGTAGGCTCATCAATCGTAACAAAAGTACCCTCTGGAGGAGGCTGTGCATGTGTGGGGGTAGGGAATATACGGGAAATCTCTGTAACTCCCTCTCAATTTTCCTGTGAACCTGACACTGCTCTAAAAATATACAGCCTTTAAAAAACAAATAAAAAGTAAACTAAACAGCCCTAGCTGGTTTGGCTCAGTGGATAGAGCGTCACCCTGCGGACTGAAGGGTCCCGGGTTGGATTCCGGTCAAGGGCACATGTCCAGGTTGCAGACTTGGTCCCCGATAAGGGGGCATGGGGGAAGCAACTGATCAATGATTCTCTCTCTCCCTCTCCCTTCCTCTCTGAAATCAATAAAAATATATTTTAAAAAAAATAAAATAAAAAGTAAACTAAACAAGAAAAAAGTTCTAACAAAAAAATAACAATAAAGACCTCTGCATATTTGTTCTACATTTAAGACAGGAAGAAAAAATGATTTTTTAAAGTTTATTAAACAATTTACAATCATCTGTGCATTTCCTTTTTCTTTCCACCCATTAGCTTTAAAAATAAGAAGACAGCCCTGGACAGTGTGGCTCAGTTGGCTGATGCATCATCCGTGCACTGAAAGAGGGCGGGTTTGATTCCCAGTCAGGGCACACCTGGTTTGCAGGTTCAATCCCCATAGCTGGTCCCAGTCGTGTGTGGGGGGCAAGCGATTGATGTTTCTCTCTTTCATTAATGTTTCTCTCTCTCTTTTCCTCTTTCTCTTAAAAAAATCAATTAAAAAACATGTCCTTGGTAAGGATTAAAAAAGAAAAGAAGATAGGTTGGCAATTATCTCATTAATTCACTGCATATCTAACATCAACATTAAATCACAAAATCAAATTACGGTCAAATGGCTTACAAAGTTCAGATCAGGCTGAACTTATGAAGAAAAATGATGAAACTAATTGGTTCAATACATTTTTTTTTTAAATCCTCACCTGAGGATATGATTTTATTGATTTAGAGAGAGAAAGAGATATCAAACCACCAATCTAGGTATAAGCCCTAACCAGGAATCAAACCCACACCATTTTGGTGTACCAGACAATGCTCCAATTAACTGAGCCACTCAGCCAGGGATGTTCGATACATTTTTTTAATGGACTTCATTAGTTCCTGCGGCACTAAGTGGGCTGGGAGAGAAGCCTGTAGGAGTGGGTACATCACAGCTACTGCCATACACAGAAAATTCTGACATTTCCAGAGCTTTTGGAGTCAGGCGTGATTTTCACTTTCCCTTAAGATGGAGCATATTTTCACAAGCATTATTTGGATTCTTTGAATCATTCATCTTCAACGGAGAAATGAAAAGGAAAACTATACAAAGACACATCAGAAAGATGCTCCAGTTTTCTGAGCAGACCACTCCAAGATTCTAATGAGAATTCTGAGCACATAGTAAAAGAGAACACTTATCTCTGTGAGTGACTTAGAGTGCTGATTACTTCGTGAACATTCAAGGAATGGCTTTTGAACTAAAGCAAACAGCAGAACCAGACATTCCAAAAGAGGTCTGAAGAAATGGGAAATTGTCAACATACCACAGAGTTGATCCTATGCTATGTTAATCTATATATATAAAAACCTAAGCAACCATTAGGACTAAATGACCAGAACAACCGGTCGACCAGTCGCTATGATGCGCACTGACCATCAGGGGGAAGATGCTCAACACAGGAGCTGCCCACTAGTGGTCAGTGCACCCCCACAGCCAACCTCCCACAGCCGGCCAGCAGTGTTGGCAGCTGGCGTCTGTTGCTTCCGCACTGGCTGGTGACCGTCACCTTCAGCTCTGGGCTGGGACAGGGAACCGGGATTAGGTGGTGGTGGATCCCTTTCCGAGGGGGGCCAAAGGCCAGCTCCCTCTGTGGAGCTGGCAGCCAACTCCTGCGCCCCATCCCTCCCCGTGGCCAGCAGGCCCCAATTGGCCTGGCCCTGATCGGCGGCCAGGCCTAGGGACCCCACCTGTGCACGAATTCATGCACCGGGCCTCTAGTACTGAAATGTTTGCCTAAGAATTTACCCTTGTATCTATCTCTCCTCTAAGCTCTAATTTATGTTCCTTCCTTCTCATTATATACTTTTTCCCAACATCATTTGCTAAAATCCTACCCATGCTTCAAGTCCCCATTAAATTGCCAGTTCTCAATGAATTTATTTCTTATTTTCTAACTGGGTATTATTTCTGTGACTTTAACTCACAGATGTTGTTGTTGTTCTTAAGACATTCACTTTATTCAGCTTTGGGTTCTTATTATTTATACAGTATTTATCTCCTATCCATTTTGTACTTTTGCACTGATGATCACTAAGCTTTATACATACTAAGTACTCTATAAATAGTTAATTGAAATCAATTAACCCAAGATTAACCCAAGGCAAAAACAATTTTTTTATTTTTTCCATCATCATTTATCCCCCCAAACCCTCTTCCCCTTAGTAATCACCACACTGTTGTCTATGTCCATGAGTACTTTCTCTCTTTTCTTTTTTGCTCAATCCCCCTCCCCTCCCCACCATTACCCCTCCACCACCCCTTTACTCCCATCCCTACTCCAGAGCTGTCTGCCTGCTCTCTATCTATGAGATTGTCTTTGTTTTGTTTGTTAGTTCAGTATGTCCATTAAATTCCACATGAGTGAAATCATATGGTACTTGTCTTTCTCTCACTGGCTTATTTCACTTAGCATAATGTTCTCCAGGTCCATCCACGCTCTCCCAAAAGGAGAAATTTTCTTCCTTTTTACAGCAGAGTAGTATACCATTGTGTAAATGTACCACAGCTTTTTTTATCCACTCATCTACTGATGGACGCTTGGGCTGCTTCCAAATTTTGGCTATTGTTAATAATGCTACAATGGGTGCATATATTCTTTTGAATTAGTATTTCAGGTTTCTTCAAATAAATTCCCAAAAGTGGAATTGCTGGGTCATAAGGCAGTTCCATGTTTAATTTTTTGAGGTAACTCCACACTGCTTTCCACAGTAGCTACACCAGTCTGTATTCTCACCAACAGTGAACAAGGGTTGTCTTTTCCACATCCTCGCCAACACGTCTTTGTTTATTTATTGATGATAATCATTCTGACAGGTGTGAGATGATATCTCATTCTGGTTTTAATTTGCATCTCTCCAATGGTTAGTGACATTGAGCATCCTTTCATATGTCTATTGGCTATCTACATGTCCTCTTTGGAGAAGTGTCTATTCGGGTTCTTTATACATTTAAAAATTAGATTGTTTGGGGGGTTTGTTGGTGTTCAGTTTTGTAAGTTCTTTATAAAGTTCAGATATTAACCTTTAATCAGATGTACTGACAAATATGTTCTCCCATTCAGTGGGTTGTCTTTTCATTTTGTTGATGGTTTCCTTTGCTGTGGAAAACTTTAGTTTAATGTCGTACCATTTGTTTATTTTCCTTTTTGTTTCTCTTGCCCTAGGAAATATATCAGGAAAAAATATTGCTACAAGAAATATCCAAGACTTTACTGCCTATGTTTTCTCCTAGGGTTTTTATGGTTTTGAGTCTAACATTCAAGTCTTTAGTCCATTTTGAGTTTATTCTTGTGTTTGGTGTAAGAAGGTGGTCTAGTTTTGTTGTTTTACATGCATCTGTCCAATTTTCCCAACACCATTTACTGAATAGACTATCTTTACCACATTGTATGTTTTTCCCTCCTTGGTCAAATATTCATGTGGCTATAAAGGCATGGGTTTATGTCTGGGCTCTCTTTTCTGTTTCACTGGTCTATATGTCTGTTTTTATGCCGTACCACACTGTTTTGATTACATGGCTTTGCAGTATAGTTACATATCTGGTAGCGTGAGTCCTCCAACTTTGTTCTTCTTTCTCAAGATCGCTGTTACTATTTGGAGTCTTTTGTGGTTCCATATAACTTTTGTTCTAGTTCTGTGAAATACACCATTGGCATTTTGATAGGAATGGCACTGAATCTGTAGATTGCTTTGGGTAGTAAGGACATTCTAATGATGTTAATTCTATCTATGAACATGGTATATGCTTTCACTTATTTGTATCTTCTTCAATTTCTTGTTTCAGTGTCTTATAATTTTCCAAGTACCAGTCCTTTCTATCCTTGGTTAAATGTATCCCTGGGTATTTTATTCTTTTTGAAGCAATTGTGAATAAAATTGTTTTATTAGTTTCCCTTTCTGATAATTCATTATTGGTGTATAAAAATGCAATTGACTTCTAGATATTTATTTTGTATCCTGCTACTTTACTGAATTTACTTGTTAAGTTCTAGTAGTTTTTTTTTTATGGAATCTTTAGAGTTTTCTATATACAGTATCATGTCATCTGCAAATAAGTTTTACTGCTTCCTTTCCAACATGGATGCCTTTTATTTCTTCTTCTGGCCTGATTGTTTTGGCTAGGACTTCCAGTACTATGCTCCAATAAACTAAAAAAAAAAAAAAAAATATTTAAATGTTTCTTACGTTAACACTCTAGGCTAGGCATGTTGCAAAACAGAGTGAGGAGTGGCAGCTGCAAAAACATGTATAGGCTGAAAAGCACAGGCTATCCATGAGGCAAAGAATGAATGAGTTTAAGTTCTTTTGTGGTAGGTGGTTAGACACACATGAGCAGAGCAAGGACGATGGGGCAGGTACAGAGGTGGGGGGGGCGGTGGCGGCGCGCGATAGCCGGGGGTACCTAGCAAAGGACAATTCTAGGGTGGCACCTCGCTCCCAGGGTGACCATTGCCCCCTAGCATATCACTGGTCATGTGGTTTAGACTCCCTGACCATTCTTCCCTTGAGATAACATCTAGGCCTCAGTTGCATTTCAGCTTGAGCTCAGAAAAGCAGCAAAACCACACAGACAAGCAATGCCCCACGGACCTCAGGACCAACTACACTGAATAATGACTCCCTGCCCTGGCGCCCAGCAATCAATCAGTGGAGACCCTGACCCGGAAAGGACACCTGGAAAGCTGTTGAACAGTCTATTGAGATCTTCCCCTGGGACCTCCCCTAAAAGCTCTACCCTTAAAACCCACAGGACGGGGACCCACTGCCTCTCCTTCCCTGGAGCAGGCCATTGCCTCCACCTTCTCCCTCCACCTCACCATCCCCCGCCCCTGCCAGGTTCATTAACTTTACCTTCCTTCCTTCTAAGCTCCCAGGGCCCTTTCTTTGCCTCTATAACTGAAGCGTATTTCTTCTATGAATTACTCCTTCCACCTCTGTGATTTTATAAATAAAGGTTACCGTATAGTTTGCGTCTTGAGTCTGGCCTCTGAATTCTTTCTTAGCCAGAACGCAAGGACCCAGGTTGCTGAACCCAGGCCCAGGGACCCCAGGAGTCGAACACCTGGTGACATTCCCGCCGCCAACACTTTAAGACTGTTTCCTACAAGCTGGTTTCAAGGTTTCTGTGACTATAACCCCAAATTCTGAAAGAGTAAAGAACGTTCTACACAACTGTGGCCAATTTAAATTTCGAATCCTAAACAAATTCCGGGACAGCTGTCTGATACCAAGGCGTATTTTATTATACATTGGGTGTCGTTCTTGATTTATCACATTTTTCTTTATAACGAAAAGTCTGTGAAACGATAAGTGAGCGCGTTGGCCAAATTTTGTTCTTTGAAAATCAGTCCTCCTGCTTCCTAGCCACCTCCCTCGCCTGCTAATCCAAAAGAGGGGTAAAGTCCGGCAGTTGTTTGCAGAGACTCTCCAAGTTAGAGATGCACTCTGCACCCCCTTCTGAAATGCGGGTGCACATTGTTAAAGTTATTTAAAGGAGGAGAGAGCGGGTAGCCCAGGGCGGAGCGGGGGGCGGACCCGCAGCGGGAAGCTCCCAGCCCCGGGCCGCACGCCGGGCAGCTGGGGCGGCCGTGGAGCGGACGACGCCAGCCCCGAGGCCCCGAGCCCGGGCGCGGGGAGGCGGACAGCCCCGAGGGCGGGCGGCGGGGCGAGCAGGAGTTTCGGAAGGCTCGGGCACTTGGCTCCGGGCGCCGCCGGAGGCTGGAGGCTGGGGCGAGGTGCGCTTCGCCGCCCAGACCGAGCCGTGGGGGTACCTGACTGCGGGGGGCCGGTCCACAGCTGCCTCCTGCCGCCCGGGCCGCGCACACAGCCGGTCCTCCGCAGAGCAGCCACCCGCGCCAGCGCAGCCAGCATCTCGAGCCTCTGCGACACCGCGGCCCCAGCGGGAGTGAGCCCGGCGCCCGCGCGACCTGCAGCCGCGGGGAACGCCCCCCGCCGCCGGGACCGCCCGGGCGGGGGCGGGAGCGCGGGGCGGAGCTCACCAGCCTGGGCAGGGGCGGGAGCGCGGGGCGGAGCTCACCAGCCCGGGCGGGGGCGGGAGCGCGGGGCGGAGCTCACCAGCCCGGGCAGGGGCGGGAGCGCGGGGCGGAGCTCACCAGCCCGGGCGGGGGCGGGAGCGCGGGGCGGAGCTCACCCGCCTGGGCAGGGGCGGGAGCGCGGGGCGGAGCTCACCAGCCCGGGCGGGGGCGGGAGCGCGGGGCGGAGCTCACCAGCCCGGGCGGGGGCGGGAGCGCGGGGCGGAGCTCACCAGCCCGGGCAGGGGCGGGAGCGCGGGGCGGAGCTCACCCGCCTGGGCAGGGGCGGGAGCGCGGGGCGGAGCTCTCCCAGCCAGGGCAGGGGCGGGGGCGCGGGGCGGAGCTCTCCCCGCCCGGGCAGGGGCGGGAGCGCGGGGCGGAGCTCTCCCCGCCCGGGCGGGGGCGGGAGCGCGGGGCGGAGCTCTCCCCGCCTGGGCGGGGGCGGGAGCGCGGGGCGGAGCTCACCCGCTCGCGTCACTGGCTGGGCAGGTGTCCCACCAGCTGCCCCGACCAGGCGCCGCCAGACTGTACAGGCGGTTTCCGAGCCGGGCGTCCGGCCTCTCTAGTGTCCTCTTCTTCCTCCTGCCTTTCTTTAATTCGCTGGTTCTTTACCCCATTAAATAACCCGCCCGGCGTGGCTCCGTGGTTGAGCGTCCATCTCTGAACCAGGAGGTCACGGTTCCATTCCTGGCACGTGCCCGGTTGTGGGCTCGATTCCTAGTGTGGGGCGTGCGGAAGGCAGCCGATCAATGATTCTCGCTCATCACTGATGTTTCTATCTCTCTTCCGCTCCCTTCCTCTCTGAAATCAATAGAAATAAATACTGCCCCACTTGTTCCCCTGCTCCTAACGGAACCTTTGGGGAGCCGGAACCAATGTGCTGTGCGGCTCCGGCAGCCGGGGGACTGCTTTGGTATGGGACCACCAGCTCTCCCCGGTGGCTCAGTTCAGACAGTTCCGGGGACGCGGGAGTGAGGCCTTCCTCTGCCGACATGCACCGACAGAACTTCCGACCTCCGACTCCTCCTTACCCCGGCCCGGGGGTAGGAGGTTGGAGCAGCGGGAGCAGCTACCGGGGTACCCCGGGCGGAGGCGGGCCGCGGCCTCCCTCCCCTCGGGACGGGTACGGGAGCCCGCATCACACGCCGTCGTTCGGGCCCCGGTGTAGGCCCTATGGGAGCAGCCACTCTCCGCGACACGGCGGCAGCTTCCCCGGGGGCCGGTTCGGGTCTCCGTCCCCTGGCGGCTACCCTGGCTCCTACTCCAGGTCCCCCGCGGGGTCCCAGCAGCAATTCGGCTACTCCCCGGGGCAGCAGGCCCACCCCCAGGTAACACATGGCCAGCGTTGGCGGAGTTCTTACTGTATGGCAGGCACGGTACCAGTAATCCCTGTCCGTGGATTATTTTTTATTTTTCGATCCTCTCTGAGGTGAGACTATCGCTTGGTAGCCCCTCTTGGCAGACGAATAAACTGAGGCTCAGAGAAGTTAAGTAACGGTCTCCAGGTTCCCCGAGCAAAGCCTTTCTTTCTAGAGCCCTCGGCTGCCCCCAGGTCTCTCCCCGTTGTCGGAGGTCTCGTCAGCCCGTCTCAGTGCATTTATGCCGAGCCCGGCCTCCAGGCGCACAGCTCCGGCTCCCGGCACAGCGGTCGGCTCGGTTGCGGGGTCCTAGCTCCTGCACCCTCCCCCCTTTCCTTCCCCGGCTTTGTTTGCGAACCGCACTGGCTTCCGCCCCAAGGGTTGTCCGGGGAAGCTCGGTGCTGGCGGCCGCTTCCTGTTCCCCTCAGTGAGAGCGGGTGCGGGAGAGGGGGCTTCCGGTGGGCGCAGGATTGGTGGCTTGCAACTCGCGTGTACTCGATGCCTTGCCATCTTTGCTTATGCTAAGTCAACCCCGTCCCTTTAAATCTAGAGCTAATGAAGATGGGAAGGTTCTAGAAATCTTTAAGCTGTAGGGTTTACAAGTTTTAAATCCCCCCAGAAAATAGGGGCATTTTGAGGGGGAGAAAAAATGAAATACAATTGTTTCTTAATTTCACCACCAGTTGGTAGTTCTGCAAAGTTAGAAAACCCAAAGTATTTTGAGGTGACCGTGAGCATGGAATTAATAATAGAAGAGCATACCAAGTTGGTTTAAATACATTTTAAAAACAAAAACACTAGATTAAATACAGATGGAGTTTGCAATTGAACGTATTTGGCTTCAAAGGCACATCAACTTGAAACTGGCAGTGTGACCCTTACGACCTTTTCGAAAGTACCAGTCATCCCTAGGAAATGTTTTTTTTAACTGATGATTTTTCTCCTAAAGGGTTCTCCAAGGACATCTACACCCTTTGGATCAGGGCGTGGTAGAGAAAAAAGAATGTCTAATGAGTTGGAAAGTTATTTCAAACCTTCAATGCTTGAAGACCCTTGGGCTGGCCTAGAACCAGTGTCTGTAGTGGACATAAGCCAACAGTACAGCAATACTCAAACATTCACAGGCAAAAAAGGAAGATACTTTTGTTAACATTTCTGAAATTCAACGGGAAGCTTCATGTGTCAGGAACATCTTGGACAAAACTCACTTGTGTGCCTAAGTTGAACCCTGACATGGTGACTCTGACTGAATAATTAGTTGAGTCTTCTTGGTATTTTTCATCATGTCAAATATTGTGGGTATGAGAAAAGAAATATGGTAGGATAATTTGCAATATTTCTCTGAAAGTGCCTACCACATTTTAGAAGATTTACAGTTTCCAACTATTTAACATTCTTGGTTATATAATGGACATTTGTCTTTTAATGTTTTTCCAGTGTTTTAAAATAAAACATTTTGTCTTCCTAGCTATATTGTGCTTTTGTCATATGCTAAAGGAATAGAAGTATTAAATTAATGCTTTGTCATCAGAATTCGTAAGTAAATATTTTGCCTACTACTTTTGAAAATAAATTAATAAACCATCCTTTGAGCTATAGACAGTTCGATATTTGTTCACCCAGGGAAAGAGGGGTCAAGGAAGAGAATAAAGGAGAGTTCTGTTCCTGTCTGTTATAACCATTGTTTTCTGTGCATATTTTCTGTAATGCTTTTGTTAAAATGCATCGGAACTTGACTGGAAGCCACAGAAACTCAAGCTTAAGTAAAGAGTTTTGAACCCTTATTTAACTGGAAAAGGCAAGAACATACCTATTTCTTGCATAGCGAGGTCAAAGAATTTTGTGTCTGAATGTCTCTACATTACTCAGTATGTGGAGTCATTTTCTCTTGAGGCTAAGAAAGATGGCTGCTGGCAGTCTCTATTCACTTCCCCTGTGAAGAGGACCTTTCCCACCTTAGGAATCCAGGGAAGGCAGGTTGGCCGTGCTTCCTTAGGTTGTGTTTGTGTAGTCCTTTTCCAGTAACTGTCCAAGGTATGAGGCCTAATTAGTTTGAACAGTGAACACTCCCCTGAATGAGATGGAGCTGTGATTTTTAGCCCCACTATGCCTACCTGAAGTAGAGAAGTGGTTTTCCACCGAGAGAAATGTTATGAATATTTACATACAGTAATGAAGAGAAAAATATGAAGGGATTTTTTTTTTATTTTTAAAAAATCAAGTCTTATAACATCCAGGCTTTTTAAATATTTTGAGGTCACAATACATGAAAATAGAGCTAGTTAAAATTTTGTTTACACGTTCCCAGAAATAAATGTCCAAAAATGAAATGATCACACCACCTAGTTGAGCCATACTCAGTTAATTTTGTTAGGTCTTCACATAGGCAAAGAAGAAAATGAGAAGGGAAGGACTTTAGATTAATAAAAACTCCATGATACCCAGGAGTACTACTGCCAAATACTAGTTGGATGAGTTATTTAACTTCTCTATGCCTCAGTTTTCTCATGTAAAATGAAGACATTAACAGCACCCGTGTCATAGAGGTGCTGTATTTGAGGACTAAATGGGTTTACATGTGTGACCCTGTTCGGCCAGAGCCTGGCACATGGTGAGCACTCACACAGTTTGTGGCTATTTCTCATTCACCCCAATATCCTCAGCTCTTAGAATGATGCCTGGAAAAAAAGTAGGTGCTTAATCAATATTAGGTGAATAAATGCAGACATTCTGATTATATCTACTATATCGTTCTGCCCTTATATCCTGTATATTAAAAAATAGTAAATACTTTTCCCCCAGTATATTAAAGGAAATGGCTTTATTCCCTAACATCTCGTCTTTCCAAATGATTCAAGGTCATGACGTATAATGAAAATTAGAACAAGTGTATTACTTTTTTAAATCTTTTATTGAACTTCATAGGTAAGAAATATTATCTTTAGGAAATAGCTTTTGGAAATAACTATTAAAGCAACTCAGAGATCACTGGGTTATTGGCAAAAATGATAAAGGAAGTCAAGGAGTATTTTTGTGCTAAAATATATATTTGGAAGACTTTCAAATTTTAACTTCTAATAGTTTATGTGCATTTTATTTTACTCTAAGTGTAATGTTAAACAACTAAATGTAAAACTTATTTTTCCTGTTAAGTTACCAACATATACTTCCAGAGGTCTGACTTTTTCTAATTTTTTTAAGAGAAACACTTTTTGTTATCAGAAAAGATACATTGCTGTATACTCTAGTTGGTCATGTCAGTTATCAAAGTTCTTTTGACATTGATATTTTGGTTTGTTTCTATTAGCCTACTTTTGTTTAGCTGAATGAAAAAAAGTGGATTATTCTTTTAAATGAAAAATGGTTGTTTTTTTAGTGTTTCAGAATACACACTTTTACCTGCTAAATAATTTCATTAGAAAAATTTATACTTACGTATGCATCTTAAATATTTATATAATTAAAGAATGTAAAAATAATCTATAGTTGTGTCTTCAGGCAACAATATCCAACTTTTCCAAGGGATATGCAGGCACAGAAAGCTTTAAGGGACCCAGAGCCAGATCCTCAATTCCCCTCTGTACTCTTTGTTAAAACTGATCTGCCTTTAAAGACCACCTCCATGACCAGTGGATTATGCCAGTTCTCCATTTTTCTTCTGCCATTATGTAATCATCCTATCCCACTTAAAAAAAAAAATACCTATGGCAGTGTATTTTTCAAAAATTACCCCAATAATATTTCAGGTCTCACATACTCTTCTAGAACCTTGCCACTACCCCCATCAAGACGTGAACTTAGGTCCCTTCCCTTTGAACTTGAGTAGATCTTTCCTTCCTTTCCACCAAGGAAGTATGGTGGAAGGTAATGTATTTTCATTGTGGTTGAGATGTGGTCTTAGAAATGGGTTATATTGGCCAATGTGGAGATGTTCAGAATTTAGATGTATTGTCAAGTAGGAAGACAGAGTGATGACAGGTTTTGTATAATGACTTTGCTTTTTCTGTCACCTGACTATTCAAAAAACCATTTTTCCTGTAGTTGAGTAGTGTGAAAGTAAAGCAAAGAGAGCCTGAGGGAAAGACCCTTATTTTTAGGCAACTAATTGGAAGGTTGCTGACCTCATCTATCTTAGCATATTCAAGCATTACGGGTTTTGGTGAATCTGATGTCAAGCAAACTGTCTTCACCATTATCAATAATGGTAAAGAGCCTGATGAATACGTCTAAAACCTGTCTGAGTAGCAGAATTTGCATGATTTCAAGGAGAAAGTTAAAATTAGAACAAGTGTATTACTTTTTTATTTCTCACAAATTAACATTACATCTTCAAGTTGAAAGATCATATTTCAGAGGTGAGTTCATGATTTTATATTTTCTAGAGCATTTTTCAGATTCTTGGGTGAAATATTTTTTTATTAACCTTTGCCAGGTTCATTATTAGATTCTGTAAATTCATATTAAAATTTTACCTGGTCCAAGGCTCCTGCTTATTGTCTCTGAGCTATTTATCTGCTTTTTCCATTCTTACTATATATTTAGGTTTAAAAATTAACAAGTATAGTGTGGGTTTTACTGTAAATAAAACAATAGTCATCAGTAGTAGTCATAAAACATAATAGCCGTCAGGATACCTTGCATAAGCCCTGAAATTACTAATGACTATCTTTTTGCTTTTAATTTCCATAGGCAAATATAATTTTTTCTAATGTAAGACATTATTATTATATGATTCGCCATTATATATCACTTAGTAAAAAGAAAAACATTGCCAACTAAATTATGTTATGCCAAAAAGAATAAACTATGATATGCCATTGATTATAAGATGCATCCTAATTTCAGAGATGTTAAAATGTGAATCTTAGCTTGATAAATAGCTTAAACCAGTGGTCGGCAAACTCATTAGTCAACAGAGACAAATATCAACAGTACAACAATTGACATTTCTTTTGAGAGCCAAATTTTTTAAACTAAACTATATAGGTAGGTACATTGTTATTAACTTAATTAGGGTACTCCTAAGCTGGCCTTTGCTAAAAACGTCCTCAGTCTGGTTGAGGTACGTTCACTGAGGCCACCCCTTCCAACTCTCCCATCCACACTCATCTTGTATACTTGTTTCGTCTATCTCCTTTCGTTCATCCTCTCTATATGTCCAAACCATCTCAACATACCTTTTTCAATCCTCAACACTACATCTTCTTTCACTCCACAATGTTCCCTAAAATTAACTTAATAAACTTTACTTAAAGTTTTAAGTCAACTTCGCACTATATGTGCGTGCCCGCACGTGGTATTTTGTGGAAGAGCCACACTCAAGGGGCCAAAGAGCCGCATGTGGCTCGTGAGCCGCGGTTTGCTGACCACTGGCTTAAACAATACTTAAAAGCAGAACATATAATTACATGTAGGTATAGGTGTAAATGCCCATAAAATGTAATCTAAGGACATAGTGCATTTAACTGTAGAAAACTACTTAAGATTAGTTCTTCCATGTCAGATTTTTATATTCTCTTCTAATTTTGTAACAAACATAAATACTTTTCAAATACATTTCTAAATCACTATATAATCATCTTCAAGATATCTATGCAATTTCCAATTTTGAATCATATTTCTGAGCAAGGTGATTCTCCTCACCTGGTTCATCCTCAGAGTCACCTGGAGAATTTCATGAAATGCAAATTCCACCTGCCTACAAGAGAAGTCTTACCCAGATTCCTAGGGTGTCTTTGGCATGGCTTCGAAAGTTGTCTTTTGTTCGTGTGCACTTGTGAGCACTCTGGGCAGGGCTGGAAGCAGAGTAACAGTGAGCCCTGGGCACAGCATGAGGGTAGCACTCATGCTACCCCCTTGCTCCACCCCAGTCAGGGGTCTCCTAAAATTGTGTGGGGAAAATAGGTGCCTCTAGTCTAGGCAGTAGTTCTCAATCTTGGCTGCACATTAGAATCACCTGGGAATCTTTTTTAAATCCTGATTTCTGGGCCTCATCTTCCGGAAATTCTATTTCTTTGTTACTAATGTGGCCCCACCACATAACAAAGAAAGACTTTCCGGAGGATGAGGCCCAGAAATCAGGATTTTAAAAAGAATTCCCCGGTGATTCTAATGTGCAGCCAAGGTTGAGAACCACTGGTATAAAAGAAATCTGGAGACATAATTTATGTAAATGTTTTTTAATCCTCAACCAATGATATATTTTTATTGATTTTTTTTTTTTAGGAGAAAGGGGGAGAGAAAGAGAGAAACATTGATGTTAGAGAAACATGAATTGGTTACCTCCTGCTTGTGCCCCAACCAAGGATCCAACCCATAACCTTTTGATGTAGGGGATATTGCTCCAGTCAACTGAGCCACCCAGCCAGGTTGTAAATGTCTTTTAAGCTTTTATTTGGGCACAATTAGGAATTTAGTGTTTTTCTTTTTTCACCCATAATGCCAAAACATGTTAACAGATGCTTCAT